AATATACAATTAGTTTGAGTAATTAATATACAGGTAGTTTGAGTGGTATATAATATACAGGTAGTCTAAGTGGTAATAAATATACAGGTAGTTTAAGTGGAGATTAATATACAGGTAGTCTAAGTGGTAGTAAATATACAGGTAGTCTAAGTGGTGATTAATATACAGGTAGTTTGAGTGGTATATAATATACAGGTAGTTTAAGCGGTAATAAATATACAGGTAGTCTAAGCGGTAATAAATATACAGGTAGTTTGAGTAATTAATATACAGGTAGTTTGAGTGGTAATTAATATACAGGTAGTCTAAGTGGTAATTAATATACAGGTAGTCTAAGTGGTGATTAATATACAGGTAGTTTGAGTAATTAATATACAGGTAGTCTAAGTGGTAATTAATATACAGGTAGTCTAAGTGGTGATTAATATACAGGTAGTTTGAGTAATTAATATACAGGTAGTCTAAGTGGTAATTAATATAGAGGTAGTTTGAGTAATTAATATACAGGTAGTCTAAGTTGGAATTAATATAGAGGTAGTTTGAGTAATTAATATACAGGTAGTCTAAGTGGTAATTAATATAGAGGTAATTTGAGTAATTAATATACAGGTAGTTTGAGTGGTATATAATATACAGGTAGTCTAAGTGGTATATAATCTACAGGTAGTCTAAGTGGAGATTAATATACAGGTAGTTTGAGTAATTAATATACAGGTAGTTTAAGTGGTAATTAATATAGAGGTAGTTTGAGTAATTAATATACAGGTAGTCTAAGTGGTAATTAATATAGAGGTAGTTTAAGCGGTAATAAATATACAGGTATTACCCTTAATTACCCTCGCCTCAATTCTAAATCTGACACGGATAGCTTTTACTTTAAAGAGTAAGTATTTTTAATATATATCCACACGACACATATGAGCCAGTATTTTTTTTCCGTTTTGCAGAAACAAAGCCGACGTTTTAAAATGGGCTGAATGTGCTAATTCAGTTGAAATTAATTGTTACAAACCTGAACACCAAGACCTGGCCAGGTCTAATTCTGGTGTACGATCCGCCATTGAATATTTCTGTGAAAGAGAGGCCAGTAAGTGAAAGTAGTTTTTTTCCTTTAATGCTAGTAGTAAAATATGTTAACTCTTGTTTGTATTTCTGATGTGTAAAAAATATAAAGGCAATACATATTTTAAGTAAATAAAAACACTAACGAAAAGAAAAATAATAAAAAAAAAGATAAAACGGCAAAGCAAAAACGTACATAATAGACACTAACGTTTTCGACATGACGATCTTCTGCAGATGAATTTCTTTGAGATTTACTAATGGATAACGAAATTGATATTTTCCATACTTTTATAAAATATTTCGTTTTAACGAAATAGTTAATTTGTTTAAACGAAATAATATCATATATTTCGTTAAAACGAATTAATTATTTTATTAAAACGAAAAAAAATACTTGATAGTATTTCGTTTAAACGAATTAAAAATGTATTTCGTTATTTCGTTTAAACGAATTATTTATTTCGTTTAAACGAAATAGTGATTTCGTTTAAAATATTTTATAAAAGTACGGAAAATTGCGCCTCAGGGGCTCCGTAATATTCTTTATTTCAGAAGGATATATATTTAATGCAAACTGTTTAAATAATGCTGACACAACTGAATTACAAATGTGTTTAAGTCAACAATATGAGCTAACGACTTCCTCTGGTAAAATAACATATGGAGGTTTAAAGTACAATATCTGTCGGTAAGTTTTGTCTTATACAAAACTTTTTTTTGAACAAAATCACCCTGTTTGTATACCAATACTTGTTAAAGGGATAGTAATTTTTTTTAGAAACCTGTGTGCAATCCCTTTAAGACTGACTGTGAAGATTTCTATACTCATACCTCATTTCTAATTAAATCACACAATCAGAGGATGGTACCACATTTCTTATTTTAATTTGGAAAAAAATGTACTTATATCAAATTGCAGAAAGCTTGCGAGTTCTAGTTGTAAATCGATACCCCAAAGACATATGGAGATATAAACTAAATACATGCTTAATAATTCATTTGTAACTTATCATTACAGTTAAAATTAAAAAGTCGATATTTTAGACTGAGACATTTAGCACCCGAAATGCCCAAAATCCTAGTCATCGAAGTTAAATACTGCGGAATATTTACTGTCATTTATAATTTCAGTCTCTTTAGACTAATTTAGTGACATTGACCTAATTTAACATGTCATTGTTACCA